TGAATTACAAAATATTTTGTAAATCTACAGAGATATTTTTCACAGTGGAGTTTTTGTAACGCCCTATAATTGCAGTTGCTTCAGCGCTTCAGCCCGCAATAAACTCCCGAGAGTTTTCCGACCCTTCTAGACGTAAAGCTGGGCGCGACGGTCCATGCAACTTGAAGAAAACAAAAAGGTGTTTCGGGTCGTTTCGGAGAGTTTTGCAGCAAGCCACGCACGGGATCAAAAGGATTGGTCGCAGCCGAGCCGAGCTAGTATAGGGCCGCCGCCGCCCGGGGCTGAACCAATCCCAGCCTCATGGCGCACCACAGCACCCCCGCCCGCTGTAGTTGACCCGGCGAACATGAAAGTAAATGTGTGAAATGGCAAACGCGCAGGTGAATATGGCGCCGGTCGCGAAGCGCCGCGAGAGCGTTGTGTTGTTAGTTGGGTTCGTTGTGTTCCGCGTTGCTGCATTTGCGCGTTGCCTTGTCCGTGTCCATGGCTGACACACAGGATGCCCAAGTTTTGGCATACAAATATGCCACAGCGTCTACAGTGCAGGATAAATTATTTACTGGCAAAATAACATTTAAAATGTGCAGCACTAAAAAGTCCTGTAACCTAAAACGATTTTTTTTTCAGTCCATACAAAAATTTTTATGCACGGGCCGAGCAGCACGGTCCAGACCGTGAGAGGAAAACCGGTGCATGATTGTGTTCCGATAAAGGGTCGTCATGGCCCTCTCTTCAGCTGCATGGGGGACCTTTATTCTAAACTATTCCGTAACGAGTTAGTTGATCTCAAATAGGTAGTATGCACGAGAGGTTGGCGGGGTGGCGGCGGGCGGCGGGGGCGGCCATCTTGGGGCCACTCTCCCATAAGGCCTAATGGGTGCGAGAGAGACACTGGCCCCAAGATGACCGCCGCCGCCATCCGCCGCCACCCCGTCAGCCTCTCGTGCATACTACCCATAGAGGGAGAAGCCAATTGTTTCAAGCCCACTGGCTGAGGTAGACGAGAAATAACTAATGAAAGCACCTTTCTAAAACTTAAGTTTTTATTCAACCGAAATCAACAAACATAAAAAGCTTTTCTTAACGAAACAAAAGAAATTAAAGAGAAATCAAAGTAATAACAAAGAAAGAAAGGTTAACCGAATTTAAAGAGTGAAACCGAAAAATGAAATGATTAAAAACCAGTATTGAAACAAAGTAAAATTCGTTCTCATAAAATTACATTGCGTTATGATAATAAAAGAAACTGTAGATTTGAAACAAAGATTAGAGTCACTACACACAGAGACTGAAGTTCAAACAGATTTCCAAAAGTAAACTATATTCATTCTTGTAAAATCAGTGAAAGCAATAAGAAATCATTATCAAGTAACGTAAAAATATCATCAATCCCAGTTCAAAACTAATCGTAACCATAAACCAGTACTCAGCGAAGTAACATCAAAGAACAATATTCTGATCGCTTTACTCACAACACACGTCTTCAGAGAAAACATCAGGAAGAAAGAAATAGTAAGTAAAACATTCCCAATTCCGTGAGTGGGAGATATAGATATCCTTCTCCCGAAGAGCACAGCTTCTTTGGTACAGGCAATTCAAAAGAACATTACCTTAAGAGTGAGTTTGCATATGTCTGCTAAGGCTTCCTGAATGAGAAAATGCCCTTTGACACACGTTACATTCAAATGGCCTATATCCAGTGTGGGTCCGGAGGTGTATCCGCAGATCGCCAGATGTTGCAAACGTCTTTTGGCACACGGTGCATTCGAAAGGCTTATCTCCAGTGTGAATTCGGAGATGTACTTGTAGGTTGCTTGATCCAAAAAATGTCTTCTGACACACAGTGCATTCGTAAGGCTTATCTCCGGTGTGAGTTCGGAGATGTATTTGTAGGTGTCCTGGTTGAGAAAATGTCATCTGACACAGAATGCACTCAAAAGGCTTGTCTCCGGTGTGAGTTCGTAGATGCCTTTTCATGTCGCTACTAGTACGAAATTTCTTCTTACACACAACACACTGAAAAGGCTTGTCTCCTGTGTGCGTTCGCAAATGTGTTTTCAGGTTGCCTGATTGAGAAAATGTCTTCAGACATACGGTACACTCGAAGGGCTTGTCTCCGGTGTGGGTTCGGAGATGTATTTTCAAGTCTCCTGCAGAAGAAAATTTGCTTTGGCACACGCTACACTCAAAAGGCTTTTCCCCTGTGTGCATTAGAAGGTGTGTCCGCAGATGTTCTGGTCGAGAAAAAGGCCTCCGGCACAAAGTACATTCGAAAGGCTTCTCTCCTGTGTGGGTTCGGGCATGCCTTCTTAGGTTTTGAGCGTTAGAAAATGACTTGAGGCACACGGTACACTTAAGACACTTCTTATCTCGCGTGTGGGTTCGGCGGTGTCTTTGCAAACTTCCAGATTGTGAAAAGGTTTTGGGGCACAAAGAACATTCGAAAGGTTTATCTCCCGTGTGGGTTCGGAGATGTTTTTTCAAAGATTCCGATACAGAAAATGTCTTTCCACACTTGGCACACTCGAAAGGCCTATCATCCATGTGAACTGCGAGGTGTGCTCGCAGATTGCTCTGAGTTGAAAACTTCTTTTGGCACACGGTACATTCGAAAGGTTTATCTCCGGTATGGGTTCTTAGATGTGTTCTCAGATGGCCCGAAGTGGAAAATTTCTTTTGGCAAAGAGTACACTCAAACTGTTGGTCTTTAGCGTGGATCTGCATGTGGGTTGTAAGAGAACTTGACTTAGTGTACGTCTTGCCGCAAATATCGCATGTGACTGGCATTGTGCTGGTTGGTGTAATGGGCGTGGTCGAAGTTTTCTGAAAAGAAAAAGACAAAAATTTCTATTACTGTTTTGCGAATTTTCACAATTAATAAAGAGGCTCCGTGAAATCGCACCTCAGAATTCACAACAAACTATCAAAACCCGCAAAAAAAAAAAATACAGCCACGTACTAAAACGACTTGACCTGTCGCTGGGTCATCACTGTTTTCCGCGGTTTCAGGGCCAGGCCGAAATTTACCCCTCTCTAAATATTCCTGCAAGGCGTTCCAAGCACATTTCTTTTTGCCGATCCCCTGGCATAACGAGCACGGTCGTGTGCCGCACGACCAGGCGTGCCGCTGCCCGATTGTTATCCACCACATTCGTTACTGATCACTCAGACGGCCGCAACAACAACAACAATGCCATTTATCAGGATTACAAATCATCGTTGGCGCAGCACACAAAGGGGAACTCGTTACATTCCAATAACAAAGCGTGCGCGCTCTGACACATTCTATTACGCATTTGCAGCGACCGCTGTAGACGGGTCGAATCAAGCATTAAAGGCACGACCGCACCGGCGAAACAAAGGTGCGACTGAAGGCCCTCCTAAGGGGTGCTATAAGGTTCCAAATCCATGACAATTTGTTTTAAACTAGCTATATGTACGCCAGACCACGTCTCGCGTAACAGGCTTCGCGATATCTCACGAAACACTGTTACGCTGCGACGCGCCTGGCGC